AGTGGGAGAGGGAGAGACAGAGAGAAACACCAATGTGAGAGAGACACATCAATTGGTTGTCTCCTGCATGCCCTCGACCAGGGCCGGCAGCCTGCAAGTGAGGTACATGCCATTGACGGAATAGAACCTGGGACCCTTCAGTTCGCAGGCTGACGCTCTATTCACTGAGCAAACTGGCTAGGGCTCTTCTCCCACTTTAAATTCTTGCTCCTATGTTTTAAATTCACCAGTAAAGACTGAGTCCACAAAGCCTTAGCCCCAAAACCTCAACCTCAATCAAAGCAGAAACCCAGGCCCATATGCACCATATGCGGTGTGGCCAGTGTGCCCTGTGCTTTCCAGGACCTGTGAGTAATAAACCTCTCCCCGCCACCAAAAGTTTCCCAGTGGTTAATGCAGAGGGTGAGGGTGTCTTCCAATCATAAGAAGAATCACTAGGGCCTATCCAGCCACATCACTGGAGCTGAGACTGGCACAAAACACTTGTCCAAAATCCCTGGGCTAAGAAGTGGCAAAACGAGATTTGAACCCAGATCTGTCTGAGACCAAAGCCTAAATTCCTAAGCCTATCCCCCTCTCCATCCAGTCCTTCTGTTTCCCTCTTGGATTCCTTTTGCTCCAGAATTTTTTCAATGGTGACTTTCTCCAGAAAAAATAAATGATGCATTCATCACTGCTCCTCTGTTTATCCATGCACCCTGAGTAAAGCAGGCATCCTGATGCTGTTTCCATGTAGCTGCATTGACATCTGTATGCCCAAATGGCCCTGTCTGTATGGAGAAAACATTGGGGGTTTTTAATTACAAATCCCTGGAGTTTACTCCACCTCTGCTCTCCTACCGTTTCAGGGAGGCTTTTCATTTCTACTTATTTTTTTAATATATTTTATTGATTTGAAAGAGAGAGAGAGAGAGAGAGAGAGAGAGAGAGAGAGAGAGAGAGAGAAGCATCAATTATGAGAGAGAATCATTGATTGGCTGCCTCCTGCATGCCACACTGGGGATCAAGCCCCCAACCTGGGCATGTGCCCTGATCAGGAATCAAACGGTGACCTATTTCCAAGGTTGATGCTCAATCACTGAGCCACACCAGCCAGGATCATTTCTACTTATTCTGGTTTCTATTGCAGGAGTCCCCCCTTATCCATAGGGAATATGTTCCAAAACCCCCAGTGGATGCCTGAAACCACAGATAGTACTGAACCCCATGTATTTTGTGTTTTCTTCTCTGCACACATACCTGTGATAAAGTTTAATTTATAAATCAAGCACAGTAAGTGATTAACAACGGTAACTAATAACATAGAACAATTATTACAATATACTGAAATAAAAGTTTTGTGAATGTGATATCCCACCCCCCCCCTCTCAAAATATCTTACTGTACTGTATATATTATACTCACCTTTTCACTTAAAGGAAGCACTTCACAACTTCTCTTTGGCATATCCAAATTGCCAGCATCACTACTCTTGTGTTTTAGGGCCATTATTAAGTAAAATAAGGATTACTTGAACACAAGCACTTTAATACAGAGAGAGTCCATTTGATCACTGAGGTGGCTACTAAATGACTAATGGGAGGGTAGCAGAGACAACATGGACACCCTGAACAAAGGGATGATGAAATCCTAGGCAGAACAGAAAGGAATGATGCAAGATTCCACCATACTATTCGGACAGTGTGCAATTTAAAATGGATGAATTGTTTATTTCTGGAATTTTCTATTTAATATTTTCAAATCATGGTTGACTGAAGGCAGTTGAAACCACAGAAAATGAAACCACAGATCAGGAGGACCACCGTATTCAATTTTGTATGAGTATGTATCATATTTATAATCAGGAAATACAATTAAGATGATATAAATATAATGGGAGTAGATTCAAATATAATGGGAGCCTCTAAGGTGTTGTATCAGTTCAGTCCTCCCAAACCACCATCAAGGCATTTTCCAATGTTAGATCTGCTAAATATACGTTACTGAGAACTGAAAGAAATTTAACCGAGAACTTGAGTGATGTTCAGCTGAGATTAAGCGCTTGTACTGTGACCTGAGTATCCCTTTTCCAGAGGATCTAATTCATTCTCAACCAAATAAGATTAGCACAAAAAAAACAAGCCTATAAAAAGCAAAGGTGTCCTTTGTTTAGAATTTTAAGTGGAAAACAGAAAACAGTTCAATTTTTAAGAAACTAAATATATTTATTCAGGCCAGCCAGTGTAGCTCAGTTGGCTGAGCATCGACCAATGAACCAGGAGGTCATGGTTCGATTCCCAGTCAGGGCACAAGCCTGGGTTGTCGGCTCAATCCCCAGTGTGGGGCTTGCAGGAGGCAGCAGATCAATGATTCTCTCTCATCATTGATGTTTCTATCTCTCTCTCTCTCTCCCCCCCCTTCGTCTCTGGAATCAATAAACATATATTTTATATTTATTCATTGTAAGGAAATGAGTATGGCTGTTGTAACTTGAAGGGAGAAATAGGAGAACTTGGGATTCAGTTCATCTAAGAAGCTATAGAATCCTGAAAGAATGAGCAGACACTGCTCAAAATGATAAATGGCCTTGTCTGAGATGAGCACATATGATAACCATGTAACTTCCAGTTAAATGCAGATGGTGCCTGATCCCCCACCCTATTCCTGGCCCCACCCCATCTCAACCTCATCTCTGAGTTCTCCCCACCCTTCATTCACACACCATTAGCAAATACTACAGACCTCCTCCTATCTCTCTGCTTATTCCTGAACTTTCTCTTTTAAGATGTCTTTCCCTCCATCTGCTGACTTAACAGCATGTTTTCATATTTAGCCTAGCGTTCATTTTGCTCAACTCTAATCACTAGGCGATCTTACATGCACCTGCAGTTGGGACATATCACCCATACCTTGTTAACCCAAATCTCTATTTCCAGTCTAGCCCCTTTCCTGACCTCTAACCCTGTACATTCAGCTGCATATCACTGAAGGTCATCAAGTGTCTCTCCATGGTCCACAGACAACTCAAACTCAATATGTCCAAAACAGAAGTGATTCCTTTAAAAGCATATCATCTCTTACTGAGTTTTGCCACCGTTTGTCTACTCTTAAAGCTGGAAATCTGGGCCTCATTCTAAATTCTTTGCCTTCACAGCCCCACTGCAAGTCCTGTTGATTTTATCTACTCAATATTTATCAACTCTGTCCCCTGGTCCTATCCCAGCACTGAGTGGTGATATACACTGAGTGACCAGATTATTATGATCTCTGAATGCATATATATTAGAGGTCTGGTGCATGAATTCGTGTGTGGTGGGGTTTGGCCAGCTTGGCCAGGGGAAAGGGACACAGCAGTTGGCCAGCCTGCCTGTTGGTAGAATTCCTGGTCCAAGGGACAATTTGCATATTAGTCTTTTATTATATAGGATATACACTGAGTGGCCTGATTATTATGCTTTTAGAGATCATAATAACCTGGCCACTCAGTGTACTCTGGCCTAGTCCAATTGGGCCAATAGTCTCCTAATTGACCTTCCTATTCTCCAGTCTATCTCAAAATACCTTCTTCAAAGGCCAATTAAATGACATCATTTTGCTTCTAAAAACCTTTCAATGGTTCCACAAAGGCACATTCTACAAATCCCTTAGGACTTGGTTACTGCTACATCTTCAGACTCATCTCCTTTACTTTTCCCCAGCTTATCCAAGCACTAGCTCAGAGGCAGACTCGGGTTTGTTTGTTTTTTGTGAAGTTTTAAGCTTATATGATTTGAAGGGCCCTCCAAGAAAGATAACATAATATTATGACTAAAAATTAGTTACATGGCCTAGAAAGGGGACTGTGTAAGTGAGGGCCCCTAAGCTTAAGTTTTATTAGCTTCATAGTATCTCCATCTCTGGTCTGTAAACAAAGCAAGCTTCAGTTCCCTAGAATATGCCATAATCTTCTACATCTTTTTGCCTTTGTACAAGCAGTTACCCTTGCCAGGAATGCCCTTCTCTCCCTGCTCTTATCCGTATCCATCTGGCAAAACAGTTCATTCTTCAAGGGTGAGCACAGGGACAACTCCTATGTGAAGGCTCCCCTGACTTCCCCACATGGAACTGACTGTTCTCTCCTTTGTGTTCTCACTGTAATTTGCCCTTTACCTCCTTGTAACCTGTTCTTTACAGAGCATATCACTCAATTGAACTGATTTGTTTAAAATCAGTCTTCCTGCCAAAACTGGTTTGGCTCAGTGGTAGAGCATCGGTCTGTGGACTGAAAGGTCCCGGGTTCGATTCCGGTCAAGGGCATGTACGTTGGCTGCAGGCACATCCCCAGTGGTTTCTGGCTCTCTATCTCTCTCCCTTCCTCTCTGTAAAAAATCAATTAAATATATTTTTTAAAAAATCAGTCTTCCCTGTGAGTGCCTCAAGGGCAGAGACAAGGTCATTCCTTTTCAGATTGTCAGGGCACAGAAGTACCTGACACAAGATAGGAACTCAGTCAAAACCGGTTTGGCTTAGTGGATAGAGCATTGGCCTGCGGACTGAAACGTCTCAGGTTTGATTCCAGTCAAGGGCATGTACCTTGGTTGCGGGCACATTCCCAGTAGTGGGTGTGCAAGAGGTAGACGATCAGTGATTCTCTCTCATCGACGTTTCTAACTCTCTATCCCTCTCTCTTCCTCTCTGTAAAAAAAAATCAATTATATATATATATATATATATATATATATATATATATATATATATATAAAAAGATAGGAGCTCAGTAAACACCTGCCAAATGGAATGGAGATCTCACCTGAGCATACTAGAAAGACACCCTTCTTTTGGCAAAATGTGTAGAGCAGAAAAGTTGCTGTATGCAGGGACCCTGGGTGGAGGCGGCACTTATGAGGGATTTGCTGCCTGCCTACACCACTCTGAGAAGAGGTCTAGACTGAACCATGACATCTGTGGTCTCTCCAAGACCGCTTTGGGGAGCTATTCCCCGTGGCCTCCCACCAGCCTCCCCACCCAACTCCCATCCTTACCTGTCCTCCTTGTTGATCTGGTCCCCAAAACCCACCGTGCTAACAATTGTGAGCTTTAGCCCCACGTGGCTCTCCTGGAGGTCGTAGGTATTGGATCGAAGCTGGACACCTGGCTGTGTGTGGGTGGCTGGCTCCCCCTCGAACTTAGTGTTGAACAGGGTGTCCATGAGGGTGGACTTGCCCAAACCTGTCTCTCCTGAAAAGCAAAAGGATAAATTATGGTCCATTCACATAGTGACCATGAAGCCATTCCACATCATGTTTTGGATGCATATTCATTGACATGGGAAAGTGTACATAAGACACTAACTGGACTGTTTGATCTCAGTTAAGTGAAAAAAAAAAATTAAAGGAACTGCACCAACATATTAGCAGTAGTCATCTCAGGGTAGTGCAATTGGGGTAATTTTCCTTTTATTCCTCATTTTTTTTGTTATGTGAAAATTGAGTACACATTGTTTTATAGTTAGAAAAAGAAACTGTTCTAGGCAATGATGGAGAGGTAGAGTTATGCCGAGAAAAAGACTGGAAGGAAATAAAATATTTTCTTACCAATGGGTATATGTGGGTGGTGGGGTTATATGTGGTTTTCATTTCTTTCTTTATATAATACTTTTCTCTACTTTCTGAACTTTCTGAGACGAACATGTATAGCTTTAGTAATAAGAATTAAAAGCTTATTTTAAATTTTAAAAGAAAGGGACAGCAGCCGAAACCTGTTTGGCTCAGTGGATAGAGTGTCAGCCTGCAAACTGGAAGGACCAAAGTTCGATTCCGGTCAAGGGCATGTACCTTGGTTGCAAGCACATCCCCAGTAGGAGGTGGGCAGGAGGCAGCTGATCGATGATTCTCTCTCATCGATGTTTCTAACTCTCTATCCCTCTCTCTTCCTCTCTGTAAAAAATCAATAATATATATGTATTATATATTATTGGGAAAGGGACAGCAGTCTCTCATCAAACAAATATCCCTTCAGTCCCCATGTCACCTCCCTGACAGGACCAGAGTGCTCTGCAGATGCCCGAATGAGTGTCCCAGTGGGGAGACTGTGTGTCCTTCCGCTTCTCCTCCCAGTGGGTTGAGCAGTCAGTGGGACTATTTTCAGCTAATGGGGAGGGAATTTAGCAGGCCACAAATTATTCCTCCCCTTAAATTTCAAACAAACCAGTCATTTGTTTAACTAACAGGCTGCAGGGTACTAATAAATGAAGCCATTGAAATTTCAAAAGTCTTGACTTTCACACCAAGTTAACATGTGGGGGAAGAGCTACAGGGACTGCTAAGGTTTGGGAAGCTATTTCTGGAAGACCTAAGGGATGTCAAGCCACTGCCATAAGCCAAGGAGTGTTCAGAGAATGAGACATTGGAGGGAAGCTGGTGGCATGGGAGTTAAGCCAGATGTTAAGCCACAAACTGGGCTGGGTATTACAGCTGTTTTCAGTATCTTTGAATCCAGACTTGGGTCCCTGCCCCAAGCAATTCAGGAATACAAGATTCAGTAATTAATTACCTTGGATTTCCCTTTGACCACCTAGACTACCACCCCATTCTGTTATCATCACTCCTCTTCTTCCCTCTCTCTCCCAACCCTTGAGATGTGAGCTTGACTATCTTTATAGTCAAGAGCGGGTTTGCACTGTACAAATTCTCCCTGTGACTAACAGCACATATCTGCACTGCCTAATTGCAAATGGTCCATCTCCACTCCACCCCTGGGTGTGTCTAGCTTTGGATCTTCCATGACTCTTTTCTCCTAACTATGAATGCAGGAGGTGCTTTTTACAATATCTGTTGATGAGAGCTTCTGCATTGTGGAGAAATTGGGGAGGGAGGGAGGAAGGGAGGGAGGGAGAGAGAGAGAGAGAGAGAGAGAGAGAGAGAGAGAGAGAGAGAGAGAGAGAGAAAGAGAGAGAGAGAATTTTATTTAGCCTCAGCCAGCTATTGGGGCCCCAGCCCAATTCCATAGCCAGGTCTGACTAATGGGGGTTGATTGTCAGGGTGCAGGAAAATGATTCCTCACACAGATCATATTTCCAGCCAGGGTCTGCTATACCTATTAGCAGCAAAGATTCTCCCAAGAAGAGGCCCCTTTGTTCCTCCTCAAAGAAACAGGAAGCATTTGGGTCCCAAGAAAAATGTGGTGAGGTGAGGCCTTTGCAATAGAAAGTGACAGACTTGGCCAAGCAATGGAATGTATCACCCCCTCCCAGCCCAAGGGCTGTGGGGGGGGGGGGAGGGTAGCTAACTACAAATGGGGCAGGCACCTCTGAGGTGGAAACACAGGGTGGTTCCTACACCCTAACTCATCCTCCCTCTGGGCACTGAGGTTCAAGATACATTTTAGCCTGTCTTTGTACATTCCCATCTCCACCGCCTCTTCTGTTCCGTGAACTCTTTGCTGAATGCCTGGAAACAACTAGAGAGTGGTGGGTCCTGCCTCCCCATCACCCAGAGCTGGCTCCCTGGCTCTCTGATCCAAAGGATTCTCAGAGAGAGGGGAGGGGACAGCTTCCTGTACTCCAGAGAGTGCCTAGCTCGGCTCACACAGGCCTCAGAACCAGGACTACAGGGTGAGGGATCCACCCTGTTTGCACAGCTGAAGAAATAGAGGCCTGCAGGCAGGCAGGGCAGGGCAGCAGGGAGTGGCCGCAGGGAAAATGACCACTCGAATGCCTGCCAGCACAAAAGGGCTGTGGAAACTATATGCCCAAGGATGAATGTCTGGAAGAAAAGAACCCATGGGTGTCTAGGGAATCGTGATAAATGCAACATGAGAAGAGGACAGAAAATCAAGTGAGCTTGTTCCATGTTTATTGAGTGCCCCCATTCCAGCTTTCCCATCAATGTGGAGCCTGGGGGTGAGTAGGATAGGCCCTCTCTCTCAATTGCTGGCACAGGCTCAGCCTGAACCTAGGAACATGTCCCCTCCCATGCTGCCCCAGGCCCAGTGTTAAGTGGGAGGGAGGGCACATGTGGCTGAATTCAGATCAGGTCAGCAGATTTCACGCCCCTGCAGGAAGGTGGGGACTTGGCAATTAGATTCCAGTAGGAAACCTAAGGAGTCCCTAGGGGTCTATTTCTCTCTCCTCCTCCCTCCTCATAAACGAGCAGGGTTTAACCCTTTTTAAGTCATCACCATCAGCCAGGAGGATTTCAAATCACTGCAGATAGTATTCTGGAAACACCAGATTTAAGAAAATAAACAAACAAAATCCCAAACATATAGACACATACTATGAAATATGTTTTTTCAAACTATACTCCCTGGGATAGTCCAATGTTGACCGCTATACACTGAATTAAAAACCACTGTTAACAGCCCTGGCCAGTGTAGCTTTGTTGCATGGAGCATCATATACACCACTGGGTGGCAGGTTCAATTCCCAGTCAGGGCACATAACCATGTTTCATGTTTGATCCTGGTTGGGGCAACAATTGAGGTCTCTTACATCAATGTCTCTCTCTCCCTTCCTTTCCCCCCAATTTTTTTAATGTAAAAACAAAAACAAAAACAAAAAAAAAACCCTGTAGCCCTTTTCTTCATCTGCTGTTAATATGTGTATCCTCTGGCACCTGTGCAATGAAGTCCTTGCCAGTGATGAAATGCAGACCCGCAGCCAGGCCGTCACTAAAAGACTGTGTGGTCTGAATGGAGCCCTTTCCCCTCTCTGGGCCTCAGTCTCCGCCTCCATAAAATGAACAGGTAAGAGTAGTAATATCGATAATAGCTATCACTTATGGAGCACTTACTATGTGCCAGGCACTGCTGTAAATATTTCATGTTTTCTTATTTAATCCCCTAAATGAGCCTAAGAAGTAGATATTACTATCTGTCCTTAATTTACAGAAGAGTTAACCAAGCCAATTCCTAGCAGTGTGCATTTGCTTCCATTCTCAGCCTCTCTGCACCTGACCTTCCTCATCTGTATAATGTAAATGAAGTAACTGGCCCAAGGTTACAAAGTAGTTAAGTGGCAAAATCAGCTTGTGAATCAAGGCAGTCTGAACTTGGAGCCCATGCTATAACCAATATGCTCTAGCACATTCCATAGGCATGATATGTTGGCTCATTCAGTTATTGAAAAAAATATTTACAAAGCCTCTCATAGGAGCCAGGCACCGTTTTAGGGGCTGGAGAATACAGCAGTGGACAAGACAGCCCCAATCCCTGTTCATATAGAACTCAGTAACAGAGCTAAAGTTTCTTCCATCTCCAAATGATGGAATAAACCAAGAGAAACATCCCTGAGTTCAAAAGGGAGGAGTCCAAAAGGAAGCTCTCCAGGAACTCCAGTTGGCCAAGGGAGCCTGTGGACAGGGACAAGGTCATGCCTGGCTCGGTGACCTTGATTTTTTTCTCCTTCCTGATCTGGCAGAGCACACTGCTGTGCAGGAGCCAGCTTGCCCAGCTTCCTGCAGCTCTTCCCAAGCCCATGTGCAGTGATGACAGGTTGGCAGCAAAAAAACCAGCTTTGGTGGGAATAATGACACAATGGAAATCGGCAAATGTTGCACACCATTGCAATTTTCTCCTGAGTGCAGATGGTAAAACACTGACCAGCACACCGCTGCTGGCAACCTGTCTTTCCCTATTGACCCCTGACCTTGATAGAATGCTAGCTGCCCTTCCCCTCCTCCTTTAGTGAACCTCAATCCTGCCTCTCTTGTATGCTTTTTCCCCAAGTTCGACAGACCCCAGTTGTATCTGGAATCCTGAGCAGCTTCAAAGTAAATATTATCATTATGACTCTCTGTGCTCCTCACAGGCATTACTGTTGCTGGCACATTCAGAGGGCTGAGTCGTTTTGGGGCTCTTTCCCAGCAGAACATTTGTACTGCTCTCTCTGGCGGCTCCTCTGAGGCCTCCTACATTATATCTAGGATCATGGGAACCTAGCAATTTGCAAAACTAAGGGACCAGTAGATATTTTTATTAGGAGAGGGAAATCTCACCCTGCTCAGTAATTATTGTCCACCCTAGAGAACTTATTGAGAAGGAGTCTTTCGTTGTTGTTGTTGTTGTTGTTAATCCTCACCTGAGGTTATTTTTCCATTGATTTTTAGGGAGAGTGGAAGAGAGAGGGAAAGACAGAGAGAAACATCGATGTGAGAGAAACACATCAATTGGTTGCCTCCTGCATAAGCCCCAGTCAAGGCCAAGGCCAGGGAGGAGCTTGCAACTAAGGTATGTGCCCTTGACTGGAATCAAACCCAGGACCCTTTGGTCCTCAGGCCAACACTCTATCCACTGAGCAACACTGTCCAGGGATAGGAGGAGTTTTAATATGCTCACACCCATGTGTCTAACCCTCTAAAAAATAATCACTGTAGGTGCCATTTATTGATATTCGGACATATAAATTGGGCTCTGGATTCATAAAAATTGTCTCTCCCAATCTCATCATACACACATGCACACACACACACATGTACATGATGGACACCCATTCTGCTGGGCTTGGACCTATGTTCAGCAGCCCAGCACCAAGATAAATAACACTGTGCTAAAAATACCCTAGGTCTCGGTTAATAATAGAAGCTAGTGCTACCATAATTTTACACTTAAACTGCCTTATTAGAAAAGAAAAGAAATCCTTTGGGGGAACATATTCCAAGCCCAAACAGTCATTAGGGGAGTAACCCTGACAGATATGCACAGGCGGAAGGCAAGAGTGAAAGCATGGCCACCAAGTCCTATGAGAGAAAAGATCAACTTCAGCAGCCAAGCTGCAAACCCTTCACCAAGTCAGCAGCAGCACCGAGCCCCATGGCTGAGCTGAGATTATAGCCTTGGAACCACTCTTAGCTGCTTGTGACCTTGGCTCAAATTGTGGGTTCTCTGAGCAATGACAGGGTCGCAAGCACAGTCTGAGAGCAGAATGCATGAGTTGTAGGCTTTTTAGATCAAGGATGAAGAATGAAATTAACTCAGTCCAGGCTGGTACATTGAATGGTTGTACCTGCTGGGCTAAGAGGGGAGCTAGTAGGGCAGCCATTTTTGAAATGTGACATGAGGGGAAAGAAAGAGACAGGGTGACTGCTTGGGAATGAGGGTCTCCTTACTACCCCTCCCCTCTTGGAGGGTCTCTCCCAGGCAGTTAAGCAAGGCTAGCCCAGCAGGTGCACACTGAAGCAGTCACAGCTGTACAATGCCTAGGCTGGAACTCGACAGGGGTTTACTATTTCTCCCACTTGTTTGTCATGACCTTGGCTGCCTCTTTCTCTGGGCCACTGGGGAGCCTGTGACCCACATGTCCGATTACCCCACACATCCACCCTCAGAGAGCTATTCTTGTTTATATGGCCTCTCTCCTGAAGCTTTACTAGCCCACCCAATTGGTTGAAAGGTTGCTTGGTGTGGGTATGTCATTTCACTTCTCATCTCCTCGACTTCAGTACAGGTCATACAGAGCTCTGGGAGGAATGCCAAGAGAATCTAGTATGTTTGTGCGGAAATTTTCGGTAATCAAATATTATGTAAAATAAGTTGGCCATCAGCCAAAGATTGGAAAGATCTGGCAGCCCTCATATTACATGTGATAGTGTTTCATCTTGATGTCAATCACCGTGACTTCTATTTATGTTGTATCCTTCTCCTAATAGTAACTAATCATAACCATCATAGGATTTCTGGCATTTGATGAATTAACAGCCTAGATCTAGACTCTAAGACCCATGATCTGAAATTTGTGAAGCACTTATTTTGTGAAGCTGGTGTGTGGGAGGGAGCCATCAAACTAGTGAGTGAGCCTTGCTGACTGCCTGCCATCCATATTTAGAAGTGACTTTGTTGTACTCCACTTGCCTTTGAGTGTGCAGTTATTCTCCTATAGAAAGTGATATGGAAGAATGCTGGGGATGGAGAAGAAAATGAATGACTTGGTTAGAAAACTTTACATTAAAGAGTAAAATTCCAATTTAAGAGTGGCCCAACATGATCTTCAACATGGATGACTTCCCCATAAGCTCTATACAAGAATAAGAAAAGGTAATTGTCAGAGGTATTCTAGTGTTTCAACCAGCACGAAAACGAACTTTATTATGGTATACAATTATTAAGGTTTGGAAGTAGGTCAATGAAAATATGTAGCTATGCTCTACTGCACTGTATAGTGAAAATTATATGCTAGGATTATTATTTGCAAATTTGGGATTTTTTTAAGGTCTAAGGAGAGATTCTTAAAGAATGTCAAGGAACTTTGTTCCTCATATTTGGTTGGTGCTTGAGTTTTTAAAATGCTTTTTTGTTCTCAAGACATGTTGCTAGCAGCAGTTAGAGAAGTGGAAGGCGGGACAAAGGGTCAGCTAGATGTGGGTCCTTGTCCTGGCTCTGCCACTTATTCTGTGTTGCCTCAAGTAAGTCCTTATCCTCCCCAAGCTTCTGAGTCTCCATCTGTTCAATGAGGATACAAATGCTACTCATTCTACTCACTTCACAAAGCCCTGTTAAGGACAAAAATTGCTAATGTGGGAGTGTTTGAGAAGCATAATAAGTGGTTCCTGTGGGCTTAACTCATTCATTCCTTTAATAAACATTATTGAACACTCTGTGTGCTGAGATTAGCATATCAGAGGTGAGTAAGATGTGGTTTTCCACATTTGAGACTACAGGTCCAGGCAGAGATATACTTAAAGGGAATAAAAGAACTTTGCACAGTTATGTGGTCCCTGCACTTGAGTTCCCAACTGTAGCAAGCATAGCAGGGCTGCAAAGGAAACAGACAGGCCCAACCCACTACCCAGCATCTGTATGCATCTTTCTGCAGCCATTACCTCCATCCTAGTTCTGCCTTGGCTCCCATTTTCTGCAATCAAAACAAACCTGACAGCAATAGCTGAGCCAGCAAGCTCTCTTGCAAAATTTCCACAGGGTATCACACAGCTCAGTATCCCTTAAGGTGTGACCCCATATTCTGGTTTGACCAGCAGAAAATGTCATTACAGCCAGGTGTTTAAAAAAAAAAAAAAAAAACAAGCAGAGGACAAAAGAAAAAAGCGGGGTAGGGACACTCTTACAAGTACATCAGAATGACGTACTATTTAACCTAATTACCTGCAAAGCCACATCCAGCTATTAAGTATCTATATTCTGTAATAGAATTTTCTGCTGTGGAAATACTCACCCACACACATGATGTTGAAGCAGAAGCCCTGGCTGACTGACTTATTCACCAACTGGTCCGGCAAGCTGTCAAACCCCACATGGCCAGCCAGGGGGAGAGTTCGGCAATCTTCACCCTAATTTGGAAGGGGAGGGAAAGGAGAAAATGAAAATATACTTATAAGCATTCTGGGTCTCACTTCTCCATCCAAATAATATGTGTGTTAGGAAGTAACACCAGCCCAGGCTCCTGTCACCATAGCTCCAGGCAAAGCAAACTGCAGAGGCACTTATAAGGGGCAGGAGGGCAGGGGCAGGGGATGAGACCGCTGGCGCCAGAGGTTCACAAACTTAGTTAAATTCTCAACTCACTTACAAGCTGGATAACCTCTCAGAAACTCTACTTCCTTCCCTGTCATATGAGATAAATATTACTTATCTTACAGGTGATTGGGAGACTCAAATGTGCTCACACATGTAACAAACTTAGAACAATGCCTAATACAGACATACATGTTCAGTAAATATTACAAAGGATTTCAATTACTCCTCTTTCTAGGGCAGTGGTCGGCAAACTCATTAGTCAACAGAGCCAAATATCAACAGTACAACGATTGAAATTTCTTTTGAGAGCCAAATTTTTTAAACTTAAACTACTTCTAATGCCACTTCTTCAAAATAGACTCTCCCAGGCCTGGTATTTTGTGGAAGAGTCACACTCAAGGGACCAAAGAGCCGCATGTGGCTCGCGAGCCGCAGTTTGCTGACCATAGCTCCAGGGCATTTTAGGGATCTACAATGGTAGCACCATGTAGAGGTTAAGAGACTAAGCTTTGATAAAATATGGAAGCAACCCAAATGCCCATCAATAAATAAGTGGATAAAGAAACTGTGGTACATATACTCAAAGAATACTATTCAGCCATAAAAAAGAATGAAGTCATAACTTCTGAGACAAAAACAAGTATCACATGATCTCACTTATATGTGAAATCTAATGAACAAAATAAAGTCGAAATAAACTCATAGATACAGAGAACGGACTGACAGCTGGGTGAAAAAGGTGAAGGGATTAAACAGTACAGATTGGTAATTACAAAATAGTCACAGAGATATAGATTACAGCATGAGGAGTATAGTCAATGATATTGTGAAAACTATGTGTGGGGCCAGGTGGATACTCGAAGCATCAGGAGGGGCACTCTGTAAAGTACATGATTTTCTAACCACTCTGCTGTACATCTGACACTCATACAGAATAATGTTGAATGTAAACTGTAATTGAAAAATGTTTTAAGTGGGGGAGAGGAAAGAGACTAAACTCTGAATTTAGGCAAGAGTTCCACCTCCTCCACCTTCTGAACTTGGACAAATTACATAACTTCTCAAAGCGTCCCCATCTGTAAAATCAGGAACTTAATAGTTACTACCTCATAAGACTGGTGTGAAGATTAGATAGGCTAATACTCTGAAAGCACTGAGCCAGGAGTAAGCATGCAGTAAGCATTCTATTATCAGTAACTGCTGTTCTGATTTCACTGGGAGGTTATCCTTCCACTCAGACATCCCAAATAACATGTGATACTATGGCACACTGGGAGAGAGAGAGAGAGAGAGAGAGAGAGAGAGAGAGAGAGAGAGAGAGCTCCTTGCTTCCTCTGGTCCCCTTGTCTCTATCAGGATCAGCCAAGCCATTTGCAGCTCTGGAAAGCAGAGGGCCTTTGCTTCTTACTGTTAAAGGTTTTTACAAAACAAGGAGAACTTCAAACTGGGGCAAGTTTCCAAGGAGGGGGGGCGAGACAAAAGGGGCCTGCATGTACTTAAAAAAAAAATTAGTGTTAACTGCCAATCCAGGCAGCAAGGAAGGGGAAAAGGGAGGAGAATGAAAGTTGGAGACAGCCAAGCTAGACAAGAGGGGTGGGGAGCTAGGTAAGCAGTTAGAGTTTTTGTTGTGTGGGGCTACACTAAGATTCCATAACCATAAGGGTGCCAAGAGTAATCCAAGAAGGACATGGTTAGTGCCAGGAGACTTGCACCAACATCGCAGGCTGTGAGCAGGCAGCTCTTAGCCTGGACTGGACCTGCTTTAAGACTAGGTCCATAAGGGTACACTTCACACTGAGACAGATAGGCTGCATTGGTGGGGAAGCCTCACAGAGGCTGACATTGTCAGAACTGGTTCCCAGACAGCCCCTTCACCCAGCTTGGGATCCCACTCCCATTGGTGCCATCAGATACTCCAAGAGTGAGAGACAGGGCTAGGTGCCAGTGACTGCCACCTGACAAGTTCATTACCCTCACACATCTCACCCCACTCACAGTCCCAGTAGAGTATTCTTGGAACACAACCATCTGCCATCATTCAATCCAGGCTGGAGTATTCCAGGTCCCGGTGGGGCACCTGAAGACAGCTGGGTTTCCTGAGTGGCCGACATCACACAGGGACTTGTTCTATATTCACCCCTTTCCACACCCCCTCACCTCTTTCTCATTCTTTTTATTAAAGCAAACAAATAGATCTATGTTTCCCTCTGTTCATTCTTGGTCCTCAACACTGCAGGGAGACAGGTTTTAGGAGCCAATATGCTTTCTCGATGGAACCTCCTACGTAGCAGGCATCAGAAATTGGGGAGGACTCGGAGTTGAGATTTCCTGAACCATATTTTATCACCCCTGGATGCCTCTTCCTGTCTCCAAATGCAGCACCATGCTCCATGGCCTCTGGTCCAAGTGCCAAAGACAAGGAAAGAGAATTTTCAAACTGAAGACAGTGGAGGACAGTAGGGAGAACACCATTCCTTATTGTGTGTGTGTGTGTGTGTGTGTGTGTGTGTGTGTGTGTGTGTGTGTGTGTGTGTTTGGTTGGTTGATTGGTTGCTTAATCCTCATATGAGGATATTTTTCCCATTGCTTTTCAGAGATAGTGGAGGGGAGGAGAGAGGGGGAAAAGCGAGAGAGAGAAACATCAATGTGAGAGAGACTCATTGACTGACTGGTTGCCTCCTGCATACGCCCCAAACAAGGGTGGGTTCAGGGCTCAAACCACAACCCAGGTATGTGCCCTTGATTAGGAACCAAACCTGTGATCTTTTGGTGTGCAGGCTGATGCTCTAGCCACTGAACACACCAGCCAAGGCCATACCTTCTTCTTTTTTTTTCATCCTTATTGTTCAGATTATTACAGTTGTTCCTCTTTCTTTCTCCCTTAGCTCCCCGTCACCCAGTTCCCACCCCATCCCACCCCATGCCCTTACTACCTCACTGTCCTCATCCATAGGTGTACGATTTTTGTCCAGTCTCTTCCTGCACCCCCCCAAACCCCTTTGCCCCGAGGATTGTCAGTCCACTCCCTTTCTATGCCCCTGATTCTATTATATTCACTGGATTATTCTGTTCATCAGATTTTTTATTCACTTGATTTTTAGATTCACTTGTTGATAGATATGTATTTGTTGTTCATAATTTTTATCTTTACCTCTTCCTTCTTCTTCCTCTTCTTAAAGAATACCTTTCAGCATTTCATATAATATTGGTTTGGTGGTGATGGACTCCTTTAGCTTTTTCTTATCTGTGAAGCTTTTTATCTGACCTTCAATTCTGAATGATAGCTTTTCTGGGTAGAGTAATCTTGGTTGTAGGTTCTTGCTATTCATCACTTTGAATATTTCTTGCCACTCCCTTCTGGCCTGCATAGTTTCTGCTGAGAAATCAGCTGACAATCGAATGGGTGCTCCTTTGTAGGTAATTAACTGTTTTTCTCTTGCTGCTTTTAATATTCTCTCTTTGTCTTTTGCTCTTGGCATTTTAATTATGATGTGTCTTGGTGTGGTCTTCTTTGGATTTCTTTCTTTCTTTCTTTCTTTCTTTTTTTTAGGGGGTGGGGGGAGCGGTTCTCTGCACTTCCTGAACTTGTAAGTCTATTCCTTTCACCAGGTGGGGGAAGTTTTCTGTCATTATTTTTTCAAATAGGTTTTCAGTATCTTGCTCTCTCTCTTTTTCTGGCACCCCCATAATTCTGATGTTGGTATGCTTGAAGTTGTCCAAGAAACTCCTTACACCATCTTTATATTTTTTGGATTCTTTTTTCTTTTCTGGATGGGTGTTTTTTGCTTCTTTGTATTTCAAATCTTTGACTTGATTCTTGCAATCCTCTAGTCTGCTGTTGGATCTCTGTATATTATTTTATATTTCAGTCAATGTATGCTTAATTTCTAGTTGATCCTTTTTCATATCCTTAAGGATATCACTAAATTTATCAGCCTTTTCTAGAAAATTCTTGAAAAAACTTAAAATTATGGTTTTGAATTCTATATCCAGTAGTTTGCTTTCCTACATTTCTGTCATTTGTGACCTGTTTTTCTGTCTCTGCATTTTGGCTGCTTCCCTGAGTTGATAGAGTGGTTTTGTGTGCTGAGTGTCCTATAAGCCTCCCTAATTACCTGAGGTGGACACTCTTGGTGCACCCCTTTGTGGGCTGTGTGCACAGTCTTGTTATAGTTAAGCGTTGATTGTTGTTGGTATCACTGGGAGGAATTGACCTCTAGGCCAATTGGCTGTGAGGATCAGTTGTGTCTACAATGGGAGAACTGCTGTGCTGGAGATACTTTTATGAGACAAGACTTGCTTCAGTTGGGCTTTGGTGCTCACTAAGTAAGCCCCCATAAGGATCTGAGGAGTTGTAATCCGGATGGTCCTACCCTGGGTACACTGGCTCTTGGATCTCCAAGGATGTGTTAATTTAGCTCTGCCTGAGGCCACCCAGCAGGAGGTACAGATAGATCTGCAGATTTCTCTTCTTTGTTTGGGTTTTGGAAGTGCCCAGATGAGGCCTTATTGTAAAACAATGCAAGCTGCTGTGAGGCCTTGGGCCTTCTTTTGGATGTTCTGGTTCTCTCTGACTCAGCTGTAGTTTGATAGGTAAGTATAGATTTCAAAGGACCAGGCCATTCATATGCAAAAGCCTCTGCACACAGCTTGGATGGGATGGAGTCTCAGGGCGGAGCAAACAGCAATGGCTTCCCATCAGCCCTGCCCTAAGAGGTCCCAGAATCTCAGTGTCCCTTGGTAATCATTGCAAGCACCTCTGAGAGAAAGCCATTCTCATGTTACGCCCACTGCCAGAGAGTCCAGTTTCTCC